ACACACACACACACACACACACTTTGAAAATTAAAGATTTTTCAAATAATATGCATGAGCTTAAATGCACTTTAATATAAAAGCAGTCAAAGCAGCTTTGATTTTAATGACAATAGTATTCAAAATGTTTAAATTTAAAGTAAAATCTGCAGAGTGGAAAAATGTGTTCGAATTATTAATTTAAATGTCAAGGTACTTAAAATAAGTTTGTTTTTTCTCACAAATTTTCTGTGGCTGCTTACATGTAGTAAAACACCCACAGATGCAGAAAACATCAGAATCATTCATACACGTGAAAATGGGCTGAGTGTTGAGCAAATAGTTGTAATGTGTCCGAGATTCAGACAGGAATCACGTGTTTGTGATGTTTTTGATAATTAAGGGAGAATACAAGACTTCAACTCAAAATCATTGCCAAAAGTGCTACGTAATGCATCATATTTTGATGAAAGCGTGACTGATCGAGCAAAACAGACACCGTTTTTGGAATCAGCATCTAAATTAACAACGATATTGGATTTCATTCAGCAAAATGCCGGGGCGGTGTCATCTATAATTTTATCGAGATTTCACACTATAAAGACTTTAAAAGCCTTAGTTTGTCTACCGTGGGTCATCATTGTGCACAGACCGACACGCACCTCTCCAAAGACGGGTTGTTTTCCAGATGGCCACGGATGGCCTTCCTCATCATGGTGTTTTTGCCCATGAGCACGACGGCCTTGCCCCGCAGGGACAGACGGATGGTCTGCATCTGCTTGGAGCCGACATTGTCTGCTTCCACGATGAAACACTTGGGGTAATCATCCAGCAGTTGCTGTAAACAAGGAGAAAGGAAATGTCAGAAACACAGTCTGTTGGGAATCGTGATTTAACGTCTGAGATCAAGCGTCACTGCAGACCGGAAGAGTAGGATAGAGTTAAATTTCAGCAGCGGGGAAATCATGCTGTTTCATTTAGAAATACACTAATATTTAACTATATTTTAAATATAATTCAACAAATTATTTTTTAAAGTATAATTTTTTATATTTATTTAAAATAAATACAAATTAAGTTAATCAATTAAATTATACAATAAATTGAGATAATCAAATAAATTAAATACTTTTTCACTCCAAATTAAAAAAAATTAATTGATCAAAAGACTTAAGACTTATAATCATAATATAATTTTCAAAAATAATGCATTTATTGAACTGCTCCTCCATAAAAATAAATTCTCCAAACTAAATAGACCAAATTACCAATGAATTACCAAATTTAACCAATTTTTACATATAATTCAACTAAAAGATAAGAGTAGTGAGATTTACAAGTATTTTAGATTCACTTTAAAATGAATAACTAAGTCAAAAATAGGATATCAGATCAAATTAAGATTTAGGACTCAGCATTTATTATAAAAGTTAAAGCAGGAGGAATCACAAATTTAAAAAAAAAAATCTTGAACTACATAGTATATAAAGTTTGATCCAGCAGGAAAAAATTCATTTTACTAAAAAACCTAAACAGACCAAGTATTTAACCAAACATTTTACATTAAAATTCAACAAGATGTCATAACTTATAAATGTACAGTTACTTTTAAATAAACATAAAATTAAGCATCTTAACTAGATAAAATGATAAACAATGAACACTTTGGATAGTCATCCTGAACGGAGAAAGACATTAATAACTCAACCTGATGGGGTTCATAACTATATTATGTCTGAGACCAAGCGTCCCTGCAAGTCGTGGGATACAGACAGACAGGGATAGTAGGAAACAGTTTGATTTCAGCAGGGGGAACGACCGACCAGCACTGACACAGCTGGGCTGTAGATGTCCTGCTATAACTTATGAAAGCGTGGAGAACTTACGATGATTTTCAGGAAATAGTTGGACTTCCACGTGACCCTGTCTTCCCTGGGCATCTTGGCAGTGCTTCCAAGGATCGGTGAACAGCCGGTTTAAAGACAAGGTTGAAAAATCTGGGGATCACAGATTGAAAGCCTTTTAGACAAGCATTTCGTCACCTTGGAGCAGTTTCGGGATACTGAGCTTCAAAGATTTTGCACTCCACAGGGATACGAGGAACAAATCGCTTTCATACAACAATCCCAAAATGTACACAACTTTAACAAAACATCACAATGTAAATAGTTGGCACAGAATAAGAATGTGAATAACTCAACTTTGACAAAAATGGCAGATATAATTCCAAGTTGACGATTTCTATGAGACGGGTCTTGCTTTATATAAGATCTAGTGGTAAAGCTGGCATTAAATATAAACACCTAATAACTCAAATGTTACTAAAAAGTCACATTTTATGCCAAAGTCAAAAAGCTCTACCTGGAAACAATTTAAGAGCGTTTACATGAAACAATAGCGCTTTAATTGTCATCTGTCGGCCTTAATTTACTAGTAAAATGTCTGAGACCAGCGTCCCTGTAAGTCGTGGGATACAGACAGACAGGGATAGTAGGAAACAGTTTGATTTCAGCAGGGGGAACGACCGACCAGCACTGACATAGCTGGGCTGTAGATGTCCTGCTGTAATAACGTCAACAAATATTACACACAATGTAACATACAGCATAATAACAGAGCTCATGAAACAGGAAAACCTTTTACGTCTCGTCTCACGTGGCGCACAGGCCTATGCTAACAGGCTAATGCTAACGTTTTCCTCAAACGACTATTATTATACACTGATTGAGGGCTAATGATGTCCGTTAGCGATTTTTAACACATTTATGACTTATTAAGAACTCATATGGTCACAAATATCGTTTAAAACACGGAGAACCACACAGAGCTATACTGCACCTCACCTCACTCTCGGGACGCGTGAAAGAAAGAGACAGCGGAAGGAAGCGGCGCGATATTAGTACCGGTCGAACATCCAATCAGAATCGCGCGGAGGAGGCGTGTCTGTGCGCTGATTGGTCAACAGCCACGTCTCTCACTCAGCAGTTCATTTACGATATATTCACCACAGCGCCTTAATAAAAACTATAGACCTTAATCAATCATTATTTATAATAGGAAAACATGAGTCTGGACTTTGTGGTAAATGTGATCTTCCTGAAACAGTTGAACATATTTTAATAAAATGTAAAGCATATGACAACGAAAGAGTACAACTTACAGAAGCACTTCATATAGAAATAAATCAGATCTCACTTCAGAAATTGTTAAATAAAGATGTGACTATAGAAATGTTTCACATATTATTTAAGTATCTCAAAGATACAGAGTTAATAAACAGGATTTAAAGAATCACTACAAATAATTTTTTTATTTATTTTATTATTATTTTTTTTTTTAAGTTTTCCTTTAACGTCATTGCTCCACACTCCATCCTAGTAGGTGGCGGTAAATGCACCTAAAGCTGGTTTGCCAACCGCCATAAAACGTCAAAGAAGAAGAAGAAGAAGAAAAACTATAGACCAGTGCCCTGGTCAACTTCGTAGGATGAGGAACAGAAAAAGTTACATTGTTTACGGTCTTTGTCAAATAGTCTTGATCGTGCTGCCATCGCGAACTAAAGTTGCCGTTGCTTGTTGATATTATGGACGTTAAAAGTAAGTAAAACAGATTACAACCGTCGTTTCAGAACTGTCCAAATAACTCTAACGCATCAAGCTGCAACCGGAAGTTCGAAGCATCCTCCATACGCGCAAAGCATAATGGGTAAATTCGCGTTCCATGAAAAAGGTCTATAAACCAAGACAGAAATACAGAGGAAGAGCATTTTTGCAGTGTGAGAAGTACAGTATAAAAGTTCATTGATATTCTGGTGTTTAGAGGCAGATTCTATTCTATTCAAGCTACTTTTTGTTAAAAACAATTTTTATTAAACAGTAATGGAGATCTGTTGGAAGCTATAGACTTTATAGACGTATTGTGTGTGTGTTCCACTCATTTTATTCCTTAAATATTCTTTACTTGGTAAATTAAATTTAACTTCATAAAACCTGTGCCCATATTAACAATAATAAGACATAATCATGTCTTTATCTATTCATTTACCTTCTCAAATGATCAGATAGAGCGCCAAGGTGTGAATATCATACAGTGGCAATATTTACTCATTTTATTTTTTCTTAAAAACCTTGAAAATCACATACTTGCAACTTATTCCCATGTTCAGATAAAAAAAGCTGGATATCCAGATGCTTGTTAAAAACATAAAGAATACAAAGACCACAAAGAGGATTATGCAAATGTATTTATTACCATTTGTCTCACAGTATAGAAGTCTCTTCTCGTCCTTCAATTGAACACATCTGATTTCTTAAGTCAGTGAGCGTTTAAGGCGCCTCGAGCTCAATATCATCATTCAGTGTGTGTGGGAAAAGGGCAGAACAGACATTTGGACCTCGATCCGGTTTCACTCATCCATCTCCAGTAATCTGTAACGCATAACAATGCATTACAAATTAATATTCACAATAGAATACAGATATGCATTGAAGTAGCAATGCAAATGGCATTAAAGACAGGAATGCACATGAGGACCTGCACGTGCATCATCCTCACCTCAATGCATTTCCCTCAGGAGGAAGAGCTCTTGGTTCTCCTGCGCTTCAGCTCACTGTTTTGCAGTTTTTCTGCTATTTTTCTCTCGTGTCCGGCCGGGCAGTGGCGATTAGTGTTCAGTTCGATCTCCTTCTTACTTCTGCCTTTTCCTCCAGCATGGCAGGAGTATTCCTCCAGGTTGTAATAGTCATACTCATCGTAATGCGCCTCCTCGAACGACACTAATCTGTCGATGTCGGTGGCCATGATATCGATTAGAATAAGTCGCTTTGCAGCACGAGCTCCTCCCTGCGAGTAAACAACGCCGCTGTCACGCGGTTTTCTGAAACGCGAACGTCACGTGGGTTTCAGAAGCGCTCGGTGATTGGCGGAGAGTTCCTGCTCGCTTGTGATTGGCTGCGTTTTGGTGCATTTAAAACACTCTGATTGGCTGAACGCTGGGCCGTTTTTAGCCGTGCGTCCATGCAAAACAAAGCTCACTTCCGCATTTTAACATATATTTAACAATTTCTTAGACATAGAGTTAATATTGATCACAATAATTGCACCTTCAGTGATTCTGACATTGAAACGACTGTACATTTATTCTTTGACTGTTTATTCAGTAGAGCTTTTTGGTCTGATTTGTCGGGTTTCTATTAATCTGATTTCTCAATTTTCTAAAAATGATATTATTTTAGGTATATAAGCATGGAAGATATTCATATTAAATTTTTACTGAATAATGTTTTCATTTTGGGGAAATTTTAGGCTATATTCATAAATGTGCATACAGTAAGTGCCTTAATATAAATCTGTAACATTTAATTAAAAAAAAAGTAACACCAAAAGAGAAATCGCAAAAACGATCATCGCTTTCCTGTGCAGATTTGCAATTCTGTATGAAATAAACAAATGATTTTTGCTTCGCAACTATTTCATATTGAATATCCATAATTAAAAATGCATTGATTGCCTGACTTTATTTTGTATAGGTCTACGTAAATATAAATCTGTATAAGTATATATAATTCCTGCTATTAACAGCGTTTTTAACCGCTTTTTAAAGCGTTCTTGCTGTATTTATATTAATGTGTATTCATATGTGCTGCGTTTTCCATCCAATGGCAAACTTCTTAAGTTCATATAATAATGCATATCCCGTTTAAGATTGCTGCATTTTATACCCGAGACGAAACAAAACACGCACAAGTTATATAGATCACAGTTACATAAAGATGGTTCCCAGCATGTTAATGTGGCAGTAAGTGGTCAGGTGCTTAGAAAATTACCAATAATAAGAGAAATCCTGTAGTCGACTACGCCACCCGGAACACACCGGGACATAACAGCCCTAAACAAAGGGACACAGGTTCGTTGCCAAAGGCAGGGTGAGCATAATAATAACAAAGTATAAAATCACTTTATTAACATACAATTGATAAAAACACATACAACACTTCACACCAGGTCTCAATACATCACACGTCTTTACCAGTAACTTATAAAACAAGTACAATACAATAATAGAAAATAAAGGGGGAGGTGGCCAGCAAAGACACTCACATTTCTACCCCACACTCAATACCCATAACATACACACTCGTGAAAAATCAGTAATATTAAACCGTTACGAAACATGTTACCTGTTTCTGATGCAGAAAAGCTAGTTCATGCATTCATGACCTCTAGACTGGACTATTGTAATGCACTGCTAGGTGGTTGTCCTGCATCTTCAATAAACAAGCTACAGGTAGTCCAAAATGCAGCAGCTAGAGTCCTTACCAGGTCAAGAAAATATGACCATATTACCCCAATTTTACAGTCTCAGCACTGGCTACCTATTAAGTTCCGTATAAG